GAGGACTGGCACGTCAGGGAGGTAGCGTGACATAGTGAGATGTCTGGGGTGTGTCAAGGAGTTCGGTCAGTTACTCGCACGAACATTTGTTTTTGGACTGAATTCTTTTTTCCGTTTTCCAAGTTTCCAGTGATGTATAATTTAACTTTTGTTTGGAAGCATAGTACAGCTAAATTAGGAACCACACCTGAACAGTATTTTTTGTGTGTGGCATACCAGGCGTAGCTCGGAATATTTTTCGCAAATCTCCCCGAAAGTAAGTTTGTTTTTATCCAAAAATGGACTGCAATCGTTAATTTCGAGTTGATTGCTTTTTTCGGTGTGTATACAATTTCTCTTCTCCTTTGAGAGTTAGAGAAAGCGGATGGATAGAGGACTGTATAACAACTTGCTTATTACACACCCATAACAACTGACCTGTGCATGTCTCTCCTCTGTATCCTGTCGCACATCTGCAAACGAACCCTTCAGATGTTGACAAACATCTTCCTCCGTTGTGGCATGGGTTTGGATGACATGGTTCCCTCTCTGTTTTGAAAGGACAGAAAATTGTCAAAAGAGGGTTAGTTTTTTATATGGAGGGATGATCAATTCTAATATGATCGATCTGCTGTTCAAATATTCTTGGAAAATACCTCCATACAGCTTAAAATAAAAAATTATATTGTGCGTTACGAGTACCAACCGTTGCAAAATGTCCCCCTGTGGCTGGCAGGACAGGAACAGACAAAGCCTCCTTCCTCCGCCTTACAGCTACCGCCATGTTGACAGGGATTGGACAAACAGCTGTCAACGGCTGAAGATGTAAAAAAAAAAAAGAAAAATGGTTAGGTTTAGACTACATCATACTGCCTTGAAAAGCATCCTCGCAAGGTATGAAAGGTGGGAATAGAGCAGCATTTGGATGGTTATTTTTTGTTTGTTTGTTTTTATGTATCTATTTTAGTTGCTACTCTATTCGTCTGTTTATTAGTTAGTTTTTTTATGCGACATCTCAAGCAAAGTAGTTTGTATTTTTTACACACAGAGTGACTTTTTCTAGCATTATGAAGGCAAGATATATGTGCATCGTTTTATGGAAGTTTCTCGACAAAGCCATTTTACAAAAATACAAGACATTTTTGGCCTTCTTGTTGTTTATAGCTAATGAGATGGATGTTATTTCGTTAGTATTACTTCAAAAATAGTTTCGTTTTAGCATAAATGAATGGTGGATTTATTTTTTATTCCAGATGCAAAGCTGAGCTTACTTTTACACTGTTCGCCTGTGTATCCCCGTCTACAAGAGCACGTGTAGTGTTCTCCTTGTTTTGTACACGCTCCTCCATTGTGGCAGGGGTTGGGTTCGCACGGGTTCTTTTCTGAAAGAAGAAAGTCACTCTCTGGTTAGAATCCGTTTCATTTGTCACTTGAGCAGTTCCGCCAAATACAGTAATTGTCTATGTTGCATGTACATCAGCAAGTTTAGCAATGCAGTTTCATATAGTTTTTGAACATGAAGACTTGGCATTAAAATAACTGTCACGGACGGAATTTGGTGACTTGACGTGGAATGTCCTTTTCAATGATAGTGAAGAATACTTTGTAGAGTCAAAAGAAAATCGGAATTCCTCAAGTTCTTTATGATAAGTATCAATGATAATGTGTGATTCACAGTTTACATGCCATGGAATAATTGGCGATGCGAATACGGCTTTTATGAAAGACGACCTGAATTCGTTATCATTAAGTTATTATCGCGAGCAATAAATTAATATTTGGTCTCGTTTGTCGCTATGAAATCAATTCAAATTTTGAATTGCTGAGAGTGAAGAGGGACATCGCACTATCATATGTGGCCTGAGAAAAAAAAATGCCATTTACCAGCCCAGCTAGACGAAGCAGTCACGCTTGTTCATTTGGAAAACATACACTTGTAACTAAGGTCGACTTGCTCATCTCTGCCATTTCACTTTAGGACAGGCACTTCCAGTATAGTTTAAAGTTTTTAGTGGCCGCAAAATGCCATCAAATGCTGATATTGCTCTGCTTATTAATCAGAGTTTTACACCCAACCTTGACCTTAGTTAGTGGCAACCATTTAAGAGCCCGTTTTTATCCCACGAAGTCATTTCATCGCACCTTATACCACTTTGTCCTTTGACTTCTTTAACAGATTCTTCGCGTATCTAAACGGCGCGACCAAGACTCTTCGCTTAATTTCCGTTTTGTTTTAGCGCACGAAGTGAATGTTGGTATTTTGTAGCCTCATGAATCAAAAGACAAGGAAAAATCTGACCCATAAAGTCCACCAGTAGAAGACATGAATTTTTTAATGTTAAAAAAAATACTTTCAGTGAAGAAAATAAAGAAGTGGAACTTGTTTATTAATGGTTAAATTTTTTCTGGGAAGTTAACACGAATGGTGAAACGACGATTAAAATGATTTTTGGGAGAGAGAAGAGGAGAATCAGAGTTTCTTTTTTTATCAGACTCAGGCGATACCTGCAGTTGTGATCTAAATATTCCCTGGTACCAGCAAATGCAACATACGTAATACCACTCTGTGAGATCTAGGTTTTCATCAACGAAGTTATTTGACAGTCTGTTAAGGTACATTTGCCGAAACTGACCCGTAGGCTTACTTAAAGTATATAATATAGATCCTTTTATACTGAAATGCGTAGTAAATTTTTAGGCTAATAAACAAGTGCATGGGAATTTGCTTTCGTTCAAATCAGGATTTTTAAAACGAATTATTTTGTCAGTTAAATTAATGATAGTTTAGTCTTTAGTAGAGTTTAAGGCTCAATTCCTATAAACTAAGAAGTAGATCATTAAAAAAAAATAAAAAGCGGGATTCTTGGGCGGTACAGTTTCTACATGTCACATAAAACAATGTTAGATACCCCAATATTCGGGGATTAATGAATGCCTGATTCTTTCGTTGGCCTGCTTAACAAGAATTCCTTAAAGTCCGTAAAATAGCTTACGTTTGGCGTAAAAATGTGGACAAATACTGATTCAAACATAAAAACTACTTTTCGCTCTTTGCTCTCGTTTATCCTCACCCCTGCTGGGCTCGAACAAATACTACGCCACTTGCAAAATATCCGCCCGTATCCCTCCATCGAAAAAGATGTATTTATTTGACATTAGTAAGCGGTAATGAAGATATCCTAAAATTAAAAATTTCATAAAATAGGGATAGATTTGTGATAGTTGATCTGCTAGAAATTGTTGTTTATTAGGTTTGCCTTTCTCGGCTTAAAGTTCTTTAAGTCTCTGGCTAGAAAGCTTTTTATGCCTGGAATTATGTAGTTGATAAGGCAAATAAAGAGGAAAATCTCACCGTCGCAGTTTTCTCCTTTGTAACCAGGAAGACAAATACATTTGTGACCACCTTCGTATCCTAAACACTGTCCGCCGTTCTTGCAGGGGTTTGGTATACACATATTAAGTTCTGAAGATAAAGAGGAAAAGTTATTGTAACTGTAAAGAATTGTTTGGTGAAATGATGCGAAACTCGCCAATTTTAAAATAAAAGGGTGCTTTGCCGAGACATTCATAAATATCACGACCAGCTATCAGATTACTTTTTGCAGTGCACTGTTTGAAAAAGATTTGGCCTTGCTGACAAATGATCGCAAGGGAATAGATGCCCAAGTTGATTTTAAAACGAAATTGAAAATAAAGATCGATCAATTATTTTTTACCTTAGTTTTTCGCCAGCTTACCTTCGCACCGTAATCCCTGATACTGTGCTTGGCAGTGACACTTAAAACCGTTTTCTGTTTCTATGCAGTCTCCGCCATGTTGGCAAGGATTGGGGCGACAGTGGTCTATTTCTAGGAATTTTAAATTGCAAAGAAGTCGTCGGTAAAACGTAACATATTGTTGAGTGATTCGATATCAAGTAAATAACGTGAAGTCTCCGAAGACAAGTGACTCATAACTACCCGATCATGTCTCAATTTATGTGCATTAAACTACTAAGAGCATTCACTCCCCCTAGATTGGACGCAAATCCACCGTAGGTAACCCCACCATGTGTTAGATTTCCTAAACAACTCACGGGTATTCACTGATACTCAAGTGGATGTCCGTAAAAATTATCTCTCCCAAAAAAGAAATGATAACATCAGATTAAACTGAATGAAATCTATCAGTTTCTTTTGCATTTGATTCGAAATCGAGGAGGCTAAAATGTTTCCTCTCGTGAAAGTACAGCCAAAGAGCAATCTTAGGGAAATTATAGCCTGTTACAAATACTCGTATTTTGGTATTTGATTTAATTGTCTACTTGACTGTATTATTCGTAATTATGATAATGATAATAATGATAATTTTAAAAATCTCAATTTACAGCAAACTGGTATTTTGTGAAAAACACCACTAGGTATTTCCGGGTAATAAGTGGTCGAGCTAGGTTCTTTAAACATATAAACTTCCTTAGCGAGTTATCTTGTACAATAGGGTAATTTAATATCATCACCTGAGTCGAAAACATAAATTGGCCACCGTAAAGAGTTCAAAAGCTGACTTTCCGAGTAATAGCCCTTCGTTGGAGCGATTGGAGGAATTGTGGGTTGTGTGTGTGTGTTAATATGCAGAAATATCTTGCACATTGTATGACTTGTTATTATCTTGCAGTATACATTTCTTTTTCGAGGGAAGAATGAGAGCATATGAAGGTTGCTGTCTCATTTCACGTGACTTACCATCGCAATAAGAGCCTTTGTATCCGGAAGGACAAATACATCGAAAGCCACTGTCATGCTCAATACACTTGGCGCCATTCTTACAAACGTCTGGTTGACAGCTATGCCGCACTGGATATACAGATCAAAATGTTTATCATATAAGTTAAGAAGGAGAGAAACGCATGCGTAGTGAATAATTCAAGTTCCAAAAGTGTTTGCTGACTTCAGATACACTGCACACAGACATACTTGTATATTTTTGGCCAAAGGCTTTCGAGTCTCTCTCGTATTATGTTCATAGATTTCGCTGCTCTTTTTAAAAATACGTTTGGTGTTTAAATTATTCATTTTTCGCATCAGGATTGATATCTGGGTGTATACTCACTACTATGTGTTAAACTGATTTTTTTTCACTTCTGAAGAAATTTCCCTTGCTAGCAGCGCGTATCACATAAATCAAAATACAACAAGATCTGAAATAGCTCAAGCTGAGACTGATAACAGATAACCTTGGTAAAATTCTTTATATAAAAGCAAAATTCTGTCTTTTAGCATTAAGAAGTCCCAACGAGTATTTTCTGGAGATCTGTCGACTACGATACGCCACACGTACTTCTTAGGTATTACCTGAACACGTTTTTCCACTATAACCCGCACGACACAGACATCTAAAGCCACTCTCTGTTTCGAAACAAGTTCCACCGTTTTCACAAGTGCCCGGTTGGCATGGACTTCTTTCTGTCAACGGAAAGAAAAATGCAAATTTTAAATAGAGATCCACAAATTTCAGTTGGATATCGATTGTAACTGTTTCCTTGTTAAAATATGTAGTCCCTATCGACCAACCTCTTTTCCAATGGGAAAAATTGCTTAGGACAGGAGAGCACTCTGCTTAGGAAGAGGTTGGTCGATAGGGACTACATATTTTAAGAATCCAATACATGATGTGCGGAGGAAGCAGTAGCCAATAGTAATTTAGAAGCTACAAATAATGTAATTTTCTGTACATTGGAAGGCTGCGTGCGGAAGTGAGAGAAGCGCTCAACCAGTAGCCTAGTAAGAGGTCGTTGTCCGCTTTCGAGAAAGCAACGACGTTTGCCTTTACCTGCGCAGTTGACTCCTTTGTATCCGTTTGGACAACGACACTCATATCCCACCCCACTCAGAGAATCAATGCAAGTCCCTCCGTTTTCGCATGGGTTTTGTAAACACTTGTTCTGAGTCACTGGAACGTAATGATATAATACATGTGTTAACAACAAGACAATGCGGAAAAAGCATCAAAAGTGACGCTCCGATAAGACTCCATCTGTAGAGCATCAAGTTTCTGAAAAGTTCATTATCCCTTTCCCGTTCCCCTAGAGAAAAACTTTTAAGTGGGAATCCTACTAAAAAATCAATAGGTTTATGTGCTCTTGTGCTGTGATGGTTACTTTTTGCTTTGAAAAAAAAAAAAAAAAAAGGTGATGGATTCTCAAATGATGATTAAAATTTGTATAATACGATTAGTGCGGCTGAAAATAGGAATTTTGGTTGTATTTACCCTTCAAAATTAAAAGTTAACTTAATTGTTTTTACCCCCATAAACCTAAAGTTTATATGATCAGTTTCCTTATTTCAAGACTTTCTTGTCAGCTTATTTGGAGTCGTTAAGAAAAAATTTCCGCAGTAACATATACTTTTAAGTCTCTACTTGCAGAGAAGACATGACAGAGTAATAGCAGCTTCAGAGGATGCCTTCTGCCTGATCATAGAGAGACAAATAAATGATTGATGTGTACCTGCGCATGTCACTCCCGAAAAGCCCGACCTACAAACACACTCAAAGTTTCCTGATGATGTTTCGATGCAGTGTCCATCGTTATGACAAGGGTTTTCAGAACAACCGGACCGTTTCTCTACAAAAAAATTGTAAATTTCTATATTAGAAATTTCTTCACTTGAAGGTATATCATTTTCGAAGATCGTTGCATCGAAGAATACTCATCTACGACCTGAGATAAATCTAACTAGTTTAGAACTGTGCAACAGTACGCGAACCAGAAACGGCATGCCGAGAAAAACATATCAAAAAGCCCTGGTTTATCTTCTTTTACTACAGCTTGTAGGATTGATAGCAAGTTTCAAGTTTGAGATTTTCTCTCTACTTGTCAGTATAGTCAAACAGAATGCTTAATTCGAGAAAAGAACAATTACTAAGATCATGCAGTACCCTAAAACTACGGCATCAAACGGATCAGACTTTCTCGCCAAATGAGTCTGGCAAGTATGTAAAATCATCTAATATTTTTAATTGAGGAAATACTTCAATTTTCGTTTGCAGAGGAATTAATTTAGAAAATGAAAAATGTTAAAAACGTGACCCAGTTCTCGGAGGGGTGGATAACGCTATCCACCGGATAAATGCCTATCCACCGGATAGCGTAGTACGTTTGGTAAGACTTATCCACTGGATAGCGATTTATGCGCCCTATGAACAACTGGGCTCTGAATTGGTTAATTTTTTTTTGGAGGACACCAGTTGAACTATAATTCAAAGACAATTTTACCTTCACAGTTTTTCCCACGAAATCCATGTGGACAGGTGCATTCATAATCAAACTGTAACGCTGTGCAAGACCCTCCGTTCATGCACGGATTAGGATGGCATTTGTTGGGCTCTGTGAAAAATAACAAAAATGCATTCTCTTTAGCTGATTTGCAAAGCTTGCGTCTTAAGTAACTATTTTATCGTAACGTAGATCTTGTGGAATGTTTTATATGGGCCAGTAACATAGCTGGTTTGGTTTTTGGTGTAAAGGTGTGTTCCGGTCATGTGGTGAACGTCCTACCAGTTTATTGAGCTGTAACTCCTCGCGTAAGTTTAAGCTTGGTTACCGGACTTATTCTTAAAGATAAATTTTTACCTTATTTACCGAGATTTCAGTCGCTAAAATGGAGATTTAGACAACCTTAAAAAATATCAACAATGGACGCTATGTATTGGCTCTATATTTCCAAAAACCGACTGGACTGATTCTCGAGATATAAGCCAGGTTAAACGGAATTTTACAGAAAGATTTGTGTGGAAATTAAAAAAAGATTGCTTTAAGTGATCTACGTGGATTTTATCGACTACCGGTGAGTACAAGTTTCAAAGAACCTGAAAATAGCGAATGCTGATATCTATAGCTTCTTTCGTGAGTTGAACAATTTAGCGTTGAATAACCTCCGTGATCAAGTGATCCATCTGTGAACCTCCACCTGTAATCCCTTACAAAAACCAGGTGATTGGAAAGACCTGATTACGACGCCCGATCCGCTAAACAATCAAAAACAAAAGGATAAACAATAGCTGGTGCACTTGTTCTGTCTATGCTATCGTCCCTGATCCTTTAAATGCTACATAATCAACAAGGACGATTCAAATTGTTTTGACACGAAAAATGTGCTTGATGCAAAATAGGTGGTGGCATTTCCTCTCCTTAAGCGTAAATTCATCCAGTGAAGAGAAAAATCTAGTTCATTTAGCATTATCGAAAATTCTGGTTTTGGCGAAAAATAAAAGTATGTTCTTTATTGAGAAATACCGCACTCAAGTCGTACCTACCTTCACATCTTTCCCCTTTCCAGCCAATGGAACAAGAACAGTCGAAGCTTGAGCCTGAAACTGCACACTGTCCCTCATTTTGGCAAGGATTAGGCAAACATGGATTCCGCTCTGAATCATCATGAGAAGAAAATGCCAAAGAAAATTGAGCGGGCACCAACACTACCTCTGTAAGCAGAAAAATGCCTACGAGAAACATTGATTTTCCTACATATGTCCTTGGGCAAGACAAAACCTAATAGAAACCTTTGAAGCATGTAATTTCCTTAAGGATGGTAGGATTTGTCGATACGGAGTTCTAAACACTTGCCATGCCACATGTATGTTCACTGATTTTCTTTCATTACATCAGGAGCTAGGAACGACCCTTCTGTTTTACGAAGACGGGTGAGTAAACGCCTTGCTAATTAAAAGTCGTCGCCTGGGCGGAGACACATGCAGGTGGAGATATTCAGGACGTGTCCTTAGTGCTGACAGTTTGTGATCTTTGGCAATCGGATTGGATCAATCCGCTTTGCCATGTAATCACGAAACCTCTGCACGTTTTGACTTTCAGATCTTGCTTCTTCGAACTTCATCGTTATTTTCAAGCGTGAAATTATCGTCCCATGCCTTGTATAACTATTAAAATTTCTAGTTTACCGCGAAAAACGTACTGGTGATCACCAAAAACTCTTCGAGAGTGACTATCCTTAAAAGAAATTGATTGAAATTGCGTCCTTCAAAAAGCAACTCAGAAATATATTTCCTATGATGTACAAGTTTCACAAGGTTCGATATGGATGATAAACCGTTTTATGTTTGCACTTAGAACGCCTAGGAAAACAACCGATGAACCATAAAAGTGCCAATTACTGTGATAGGTGTGAAATTTTGACTTCTTTCAAGTGAAATTTTTATAAGTAATAAGGTGTAAGTCTAAACATGAATAATGTAAATTGAAATAAAGGCCGCCTGAATCTATGATCTTGAAATATATCCATAATCTTTGTTTCACGCTCGTCTTAGCTATATTTATTCCTGTTACCGAACATTTACTACCAATTCATAGTGTTTACTGATGCTCATAACCCCATGTAATTTTCTTACAATTTTCAGTTTATATTATATTAAAGGCAGTAATCCAATTTATGTTTTATTAGAAAAATTTAGTTGTTTCTACGAAACAAAAAAAGGTTACTCTTTGTTCAAAGCGTAATGATTTCTCACTGCGCACAATTATATTCTCTTAATTTTAAAATGTGGTTCCAGAACAAGTTATGGATTATTAATTAAGTGGATTTTGGCCATAGAGGTTAGCAAATGTCAAACATAAAAATATGGTGGATTCTTATTTTCAATTTGATCAGGATTTGCTATCAAGTAAGCTTACAAAGGTAAAGTTATGGAAATAAATTAATTCACTGGCGAAATTATTCGGTAGTACAGCACGCAAAAGCTGTCAAGCATCTGTTCTGCTAAGCTAGGCCAACTATTGTACTTACTCCCTCATAAAGAGTTATTTTGAAAAAGGGAGCTTGAAATTCCTCAATCACTTTTAAAAACAAATCTTAGGTCCTACGAAAACTTGTCACTTTTCCTAAAGCATCTTATCGGGCAATTATACCAATTTTTGACTGAGGATCACTGCGATCTTTAAGAAATGTCTGGAGGTTAGAAATCTTAAAATGCGTTTTAATTTTGTGAATTCAATTTTCTTGAAGCTACATAATTAATGATTTTCCATCAATCCCTATTTCTGGGATAACACAATTGCAAAGTATTGTAGAATAATTTATGCTAGGAAAAAAAATTGTACAATAACTGCTAAAACGTATTGATACAGCTGATCAGTATTAGAGTTCAGCGAGCCCGAGAACATTTGGTTATTGCAAATTCTTTATCATTAAGAGATCGTTGCTGGATGAATAGTATAGAAAAAAAAGAAGTGATGAACAAGGAAGAACGAAACATTTTAACCTTTTGACAGCTAAGAACGACTAGCTTCAAATTTCTCTTCATAATATCATCCTCGAAGGTCACGAGAATAAGGGAAATTATCAGTAACTAAAGAGGTCTGACTGTTTTACTTATTCCCCTTGTTAGGTTCTTAGGAAGTAGGATCAATATCAGTATCTGCAACAGTCAACAACAGTCTATTGATAAAAAAATTAGGGTTAATGTTGGGTTAGGGGAGGGGTAAGTGGGCAGTTGCCCAGATACTGATATTGACCCACGAAATGTATAGAGAACAGTATAAAAATATGCATACTGATGTTGTGCATACTGACAAAGGGTTAAACTTGAGCTAAAGTCGAAGTCTTGAGGTTTCATTCTCTACAAAAGATTAATCAGTTAATAACATTGCTAGCTTTCTTTCCGTGAAGACAAATGGTAGGTTTGAGATTAGTGACCAGACAAGCCTTTCTTCCTAAAGGGTAAACATCAGGGTTTCTACAGAGGAGAGATGGCTGAGGTGCCACATCAGTCGGCTGAGTTCAGGCCTTCGACTCAAAGGAAGAACGGCATGCCTTTTGCTCTTTGCGCTTACCTTTACACCTTTTTCCAGTAAAACCTTTTCTGCAAATACATTCAAATGTTTCACCAATGTTAACACATGATCCGCCATTGTGACAGGGTTTCGTCAAACAAACACCTCCTAGAATGAATCGTCAGAAAATTATTCGCACCCATTGTAATAATAAATTATGTTAGAAAAGAAAGATATTTGCCTTGCATTTGACGGCAGTTTGCTCGCTCACAATGCTTCCTTATTTACCGTTATGGCGGTCACCTTTTTGCTCCAAAACACAGTAAATTTTGGTGCGGATTGCAGTCGAACAATGATAATTTTGTTATTTATCACTTTGAGAAAATTGTTTGTCTGTCTCAACTGAACCTTCTCAGAAGAGTCCTCTCATAGTAGTACATTGCGACAAATACCGCCTTGGACTTTTTTAAACATTTGTTTATAGCCAATGCTATTCTAAACTAAGCTGGAGTCCCAAAGGCACGCTATTATTCGCCTCTGTTTCCTTTATCCAAGAACTGTGCACTTAATAAGGTTTAGGGCTTTGGGAAAATCTTGCCCTAAATTTTTATTCCTTAATGCTTGATTTTAGCGCCTTGAAAAGTCTCGTTCAAATTTGTATACATAGCAACGAACTGTGCTTAGCAAGTGCTAAAATAAAACAGAAGCCTGTTGTCACCCTTAGAAGATTCTTGGATCAAGATTGCTGGTGCTGTAGTGATAAGATGTCATGCTTTCAACAAGGCATGAACGAGGGTGTTAAGGGTGACGTAACGTGTCTCTTAGACAAAAATACCTTCATTATTAGCATATCGTTTTCGTCATAACAATTTATTTTCAAGTAAAACACAAATTTCTAGCGAAATGAAAATCTGTCGTGGATACGAATATTGAACTAAGATCAAGGGCAACTTTGGTTATTAAACAAATCATAAAGAGCTCAGAAAATAAATGAAAATAGGAAAGAATGAAAAAATGTGGAAATGATAAATAAAATCGATGTCATGTCTGGTCTACCATTCCATTAAAAATGCGTCATGAGATGGAAGTAATTTGTCGAATAGACGCTCAGCGCCAATAAAAGGGATGGTAACAAACAGCTGAAAACTGAAGAAAAGTCAATAAATTGAGCCAATTCCCTAATTAGTTGTTGGTGTAGTAATTAATTGTCAATGCTCTGAAATTAAAACGCAAACAAATACTTGTTTTGAAAAATAGCGTTTTCGTTTGTTCTCAAATTGCGATAGTATGGGACATTTTTCTAATAAAAAATATCGCTACAACTGAGACCCAATGTAACGAACACGGATTTCGATTAATTTGTGAACTGCTTTATTTTCTCTTAGTTCTTATCGGACTACAGAAAAGGTAGACGACTTTTAATTTTCTCTAATGTTTGCTATGTTTTTATTTCAATCATCTCCCAAAACTTATAATGAAAAGTTCACAAGGTGTGATCTTTTTTTACCCTGAAAACTCCGCTTCCTCCGTGTTTGAAAGTTTGAAAGCGTAGTTGTAATAAATGAAATAAATTTTTGTGGGCCGTGAAGATTACTTGGGAAGGGAAATTAACGTCTTTAGGATCAAATACTTTGGGTCACTTTTCATTTAATAAGGATTATTGAAACGGAGATTATAAAACCAATTCGACCAGAAATTCGCATCATTTTGAAGTCATTGTTAACAAAATTCCTTTCAGGAAAAGTTGAGCCAAGAACAATTATAATTAATTCCAGAATCATCTCTCAGACATCTCCAAAAACCGGTGCTCCTTAGTCTTCATTTGAGGAATTGTAAATTGGGCTCTTGAATTGGTGAACAAAAAGTTATGCACTCAATCAGAGAAATAGCGGGAGAAATTCTTCAGGGTGACGCGCATGTAATTTTTTTTTTGAAGCACCTGAGGCCATAAGGAAATGAGCTTTATTTTCGAGAGAGCAGATATTGAGTTATCGCCCATTTTTTAGAGAGAGGAAATGTAATCAAATCAAATTGAAAGTGCTGTGGCAATAATACAAAGCAAAAGATATGACATACCAAGCTCGTCCAAGTCAGCTTCACTTTCATCTGACAAGTCAGAAAGACCCTGAACCCCAGCGGAGCTTAGCTGAAGCAGGGCAGGTAAACTCAGTCCGTTTCCCATTAACTCCTGTTGCTCGATGGAAGGTTTAAGAGGAATCGAATCGTATTTCAATCTATTAGGATTTTTGTAAACGTGCACGTCGGCAGCCATACCTCCTGTACTAGTTGGCAGTTGTAATCTATTTCGATAAAGATTCAAAGCAGGCAACAGCCTGGCGAGTTGAATTCCGTATGGAAGTCTAACAGCAGCTGGGCTTTGGATCAATCCACCAGTGGTTGGGACTAGCTGCTGCAAAGCAGGGGTTTGCTGATAACCCAAAGAAGCCAGCCTTGTTCCATATGGCACCGTGAGAGGGTTGATACCAAGAGCTGCTCGGTTGAGTCCCGCAAGCGTAGCTAATGAAATACCTCGATTTTTCCTCGTTTTACCGAGACGTTTACCAGAAATGGTTGCGTTCGTTTTGAACTTGTTATTATGATGTGCAGATCCATTTGTAGAAATGTTTTGAGTTTTCGTTGCGTTCAAAAACTGGCCATGTTTTTGTTTGACATCTCGTGTGCTTCCTTGTTGAACAATAATCATGAAAACAACCACAAGCAAGAGACGGACCAGGTCTTGAAACATTGTCGCCGATCATAGCCGAATCCACATTTTATCCCTTAGTTTAACCCATAATTGTACGTCGGAAAACCTTGAAAATCCAAAAAACGGACGATCGCATTAGTCACTCCGATGAGATTGTGTCGCTGGTAATAATAAATTAAAAACGGGTTCTCGGTTACATCATCTGGGTACAAATGCCTCTTGAATGACGTAAAAGATTGGCTCAATCGACATATTGATCTTTTTCAATTGAAAAATCGTACTATTCAAATTCGTTTCTATATTGGTATACCAAAAAGAGATCAGAAGGACATAATGTTTTGCAATTTACCATTTTTTATATCTTGGACAAACTTTCACACCGTATAACCTGTTTCAACCTGTCGTCTTTCGGTCAACCCGTTTCAGTCTTGTGAGTGTGCCCTTGTCAAATTACTACGGGGGTTCTTCGATTACTGCAATGTTACCCAATCCTCACTTACGTTACATTTCATTGCATAAAATTTCCTAAAGAATATATTTTCGACTTAATCGAGTTTGTGGTCTAATTTTCGCTCCAAGCAAACTCATAGATTCTAAAATACATATTTGTCCGCTAATTTGGATCGCTTCAATTGGTTTTTACCCAAGAAGCATGACCTTGAGATTTATTATGGACAAACATCATTAGCATAAGAAACGTCAATTTTTTTCCTTCATCCTTACACATAAAGATGTAGCGGAAGAATCACAGAAAGATTTTCAACGAAATGATGGGTGTGTAGCTACTTTAAAGTCACCTAAGACGTTTAAGGTAAGGTTATTTCTTTGAAGAAGAAACTCCACGGTCAACTTAATTATGCGGGTATTTTGATTGCTCAATAGACTATCCAAAACTCTTTCAATCGTGAAATTCAGGTAATGACGATAATTCTAAGTGTCTCGTGATTCGGACTGATACGTTTATCAAAAACCACAAGCAAAAACAAACCACTGGCACGAAATACAGGGGAAAATATTCCCATAAGAAATTTCTAGAGCAATCCAGGAAAACCAAAACGTTCCAATTAGTTTCGAAATTCTTAAAGCTCAGCTACCTTAGGAAGTATTGAGCCAAATTCAAATAAAAAAAATTGTATTTATATATATATTCATATATATTCATATATATATTTGTACACATTGAATTAACTGTTTTTAAAATGCATGGCAAGTGTGAAACTGCGACCCCTAGTTTTAGTCGCCAATCAGCGCAAAAGTTTATCCACATCTGACTCTTCAGTTGTCAGGTACCGTTACAATTGCCCTCTCTTTTTTCAAGTGACACTTCAAGATCTTTTCATAAGTTTTTTAAGAGCTGTATACTTCATATACTTCATACTCGGCGGAGTGTTAACAGTTGGTGTGAATACAAGATATCTATCGCTTAGCTGAACAAAGCGTTCAGATTTCTATAGTGATCGCATACGAACAGCCTTTATGTCCCGTCTCCTTATAATGTCATTTACGGCATGTTTCGCTTCGCTGAACTTAGCGTTTAGTTTGATACTGTAAGTTATCACATACGAACAACCCTGCGCCCCGTCTGTGTCTGTATTTTTGAGATTTTGATCTTAAGTTCATGGGGACCTTTAACGCAAAAGTAGAAGTAGTTTCGAGAAAACTTGCATTTGATCTTTTCTTTACCTGTGTAGTAAACGTGAGAACGTAATTGTTTGAGGCAACAGGTGATTACTTTGTTCACAGGATGACCTCTCTTCAACCTGTTTTCACACCTCAGTAACTTGCAATTTGATTAGACTGTGCTCAGTCAAGCGGAAGGCACCTTTGCTGACACACCCAAAGCTGAGCTGGGCAAGTCTAAGGCTAATCTGGGACAAGAAACTGAGTTAGCGTTCATTTTTCATGAAAGAGAAAAATCTTCCGACCCCATAAAGACCACCTTGTGTGCCTTTTTCGCCTTTCAACCTTAACGAATAAGTTAGGACGTTCGCTGTACGGCACGCTAATTTAAAAGTTTGTTTCGATCGCCAAAATGTCTCTTGAAGAAAAATTTGAAAGAGACGCAAGCAAAATACTCAAACGAGGAGAGAGAGTAAAAATCTGACCTGTAAGTTCCGAAACCTCGTTTTCAGCTTCCGCTCGAATTTATGGCCTGTGCGCTTCGCTCTTGGGACATAATTACAATTCGGCCCTCGAACTCGGTTATTCAGAGCTATCCAAACAGTTACCAAATTGTTCACGGTTTCTCCGTTAGAATTTCTTTGTACTTTGAAAATGCAGGATTAACCTTATGATTTCTTTCCCTTGAGTCTTAAGTAACAAAACTTTATTTCCATTTGAGTCTAAACGTTTTTCATTTATTTAATTCCTTCGTATTTCCTTTCAAAAATTTCTAAAAGCAAAAAAGCTTCTGCACGGGTGCTGAATACTCGAGGTTATGTTTTTTAGATCATTTTTAACTATGCGAATAAATACGAGACAAGTAAGAAAATTGAAGGTTATTTTTTTATTAATAACTTGCACAACGTGTTGTTACACAGTTTTGTTAATTTAAGAGTGAAGATTAAAATTTTTTTCTTTAAGGCGATCTGTTTTATACATCTCAATGACCTCCTGCAATATTCGTTTTCGACCAAATGATGTTACTGAGTTTACACTCCCAAAAGACCAGTCCAAGATACTTTGAAACATATAGAGAGCGATTTGGGAAATAAATTTATGGAATGCATGCATAGCGTGTAAACTTGGAAACATTTTGCAATTATAATCTGATCGAATGTACTCCCAGTAAAGGGTGTTTTTTGTCAACGAAATTTGGAATTTTAAACTATCATTTCGGCTCGACCTCTTGTAATAGTGAAGGCCTGGCCGCTTATTGGTTCTTAATCTTACGAATGCGGTTAAAATAAGAATTTGGTCACCAGTGATCAAGTAAAAAAATCAGATTCTTACAGTCATCGGTAGGTCCATCGTTGCCTTAAGATGACTACAATTATAACAAATAACTGCTAAGCCTAAAAGCTCCTTATTATACCAAATAAGGGCAACAAAGATATATCGGTCAAGGAAAGTAGAATAATTTTACTGCTAGGGTTCGTAGTTATCTTGTTGATGGACAAAAATTTTTTTCAAATGCATATCTCTATAAACAGCCTGTCGACACAGAAACTAGCCCATGAACTCAAAACACGGCGACTATATTTCATTCTTAGTAACTTGTCTGTTCATGGTAGATTCAGACTTTGCAAGGTCCGGTCCTTATGAATACTTTTTTTCCGGATGCATTAATTCAAAAGTCATCATTGCTCTTCATCTCTGAGATCTTAAAATACGCGAGGTACAGAAAATTTCTTTCGTCTTGTGTTCTTTGATTGCTTCCATCAGATAATCAAAACCCGTAGCTCAGGTGTCCGACGGTAAGCGAATTCATTTGAGAACTTTTATGAAAGAAGTGATCACCCAAGTATTTTAGTCCTCTTTTTCACAATACGCTTGCCAAAAGCTTTAAAAATGGGTTTTGCAGTTGGCGTCTTAGCTCTCCTCACGACGCCGAATTTTTTCCGTAGATCTTTATAACCACGTCTTTTCAAATCTGGTGTTTCGCTTCGTGGCAGGCAACAATCATGATGACAATAGTAAAGACAATTGAACGGTCTGCAGTCGGACGGACAAGGTACTTTTATGGTCAGCCGGGAAGAACCACCGACCGGTTTTGAGTGAAGCACCCTCAAAGCCTGGGTCGATGCTCGGCAGCACGATTCGTCACAATTTGGATAACAAGATCGTGAGCAACCAGGATGACAAACGGCCGCTGGAGGTGGAAGCGGAAATGACTCAGTTCTTGAGGGAGGTTGATGTTCTCTTCTTGTTGGACTTAGAACAGGCATGTTAAGGTTTGAACTGCTCTTTATAAACCCAGCTTTGCAGCAGCTGATTGTACAAGCAGGGAAGCATTGCGAAGCACAGCTACCTGGACAGAGAGGTGTATTGATTGACGGAGAGGGCGCTGCCGGTCGTGATGTTGTTGGTGCAGAAAGAGGGCGATGACAACATCGTAAAGGGCATGAAGGACCACAGTTGTTTCGACAAACCACTGGACAATCTTGGCTAGGGCCATTAGGTTCCTTAGCAAAGAAATTATCATATGAATGCTTGCCTTGAGTTTGGGCTTTTAACTCCTTTGATGGTTTCTTCTTGGTAACCTCACCTCTTTGGCAGCAGTTTTCCAAACATTGAGGATAGCAGTAAGCTGGACAGATAGGCGTACAAGCAGCAGGAGGCCTAGGTAGAGAAGGAGGTGGGGCTGGAGGTGGAGCCGGTTCCGGACTATGTAGAGGTGGAGATATGGATGCCGACTTGGCAACGTTAATTCCCCCGGTTGGGTGCTGCTCTGATATCCTTTGAGGGTTGCTCTTCGAGCAACAATTTGAAGGACAGCTTTTAGAACAGTACACCTTGCACGATGATTGACAAGTCAGTGGGACTCCAACCGCTTTCAAAGACTTTAATTCTGGCTTGCCTTCACAACATTTCGGGGGACAATCATGTCGGCAGCTCTTATTACAATAATTTGGACATGACAGAACGGAAATCGCTGCACTCTCTGGGACGCCAACCTCATTCACTTTTGAAGGGTTTAAGATGCCTGAAGTTTTGGGTTTTGTAGGTTTTAGTAGGTTTAACGTGTCAGTCGGTTTGAAAGGGATTTTAGTGAAATGCTTGGTGCCGTAAAGGTCCCCGTACATGTTGTACATCATATTGAAGAAATTCATCATTCCAAACCAGCTCATCGCATTTCTGAAAGAGTCGGTGCTGTGCTTGCCCTCAGTTTTTAATTGATGAACGTTTGTACTCTTTATGCCTCCAGAATCAGACGAGTTACGTTCACAACAAATGGGCGGACAATTTGAGTTACATTTCTCTTTGCACGCTTTTGGACAGAATTTTTCGATCATAGTTTTCATGAAGTTTTCCTGAACCTTTGGATCCAACACTGGTAGCATACGGTTAGTTCCAGGGGAATAACAGCAGTTCTTAGGACACGACGGGTGACAGCTCCCCATGCAACTGAGAGGGCATTTTCCTAAACAACATCTTACTGGGCAAGAGTCGTGACACTCCGTTTTACATTCGTCTGGACACTCGTCTTTTT